AACAGCATTTCTTAGCAACAAAAACTCATCAAAGACATCATAGCTTTAGAGAGACAGAAAGAGATCAATGAATATGCTGCCTTCACAGACAGCTTGGACTTGATTTTACAGCAATTGCCACAGTTGAGCTGTTATCTCTAGGGCTAACAGAATACAAATTACATGTGTATAAACATGCATATTTTGTGTATTTCTAAAAGGTTCAGAAAGAAAAGCATGTGGGGGACAGAGATTCTGGCCAGCAGGAGCAGCATCAGATTCTAACCGTTGTCACCCTCTTTGGGCACCAAAACAAAGATGAGTTTTAAGGGGGACCAGGTGAGAATTACACATAATTTCTCTGCTACTTAAGGAAATAACCTTGCAGATATGAGATGCCATACACAGGAAAGCAAGCCACTGAAATCCAGCAGGTGTGCAGTGGAAGCTTGAATTGCAACACTTCTAGAGACTTAACCTGTCTCTACTGAAAGAAGAGATAAAAAAGGTGTCCATAAACTGCAAAGGGATTGGAAAAGAAAGGTTTTGAGTGATAAACAGAGAGAGGTGCCATTCGAGAGATGCAGAGAGAAGTGCAAATGTAAAGAAAGGCATTGGGAAAAAATACCTTTTCCAAGAGTGCTGTGGTCAGTTTTGTAAGGACAGATGCACAGGGCAGTGAGTAAAGCTTTCTAGAACTAATAAGTCATGCACGGGAGTCATTCCTCACAGAAATCTGCAGAAACATCCCACTGACCTCAACCGTGTCCTACTTAAAATTCATCCCTGCTCTGATGTTAACAGGAAAAGCTCAGCAATGATTAATCCTGTGGTTTCCTGTCACTGCCTTTTAACATGCTGACCAGTATGATCTCACTGTTACCTTGTGTTTGCACTGTTTCCTTTGTAGGCCTGGCTCTACGTTTTGATTACAAGGTGTTCAATGTACCAATTAAGAAAAAAAACAGAACAGTAACACAATGGGGCTGAGAGGCTGGCAGTTCCACCAAAAGTACTGAAGTACTGCCAGTCCTACCCACCACTATTTGTCTCCCTCACTGTGATATACCGCCCTTCTCCTCACAGCAACAAACTGTTTCCACAGCTGCGCTATAAAGTGGACTGGGAAATTGATTTGGCGAGCAGCACTGGAGGCGGGATAATCGCTACATTTCTACTGCTGGATCAGTTCCCCACCTGGTTGGGAGCACAACCCCACTGGGCTGTGCCAGCACAGTGCCCAGAAAGGAGCAGTAAAGAACGAAGGCACAAAATGGGGCTGTGGGATGCGGCCACCCACAATCCAGCACTGGCACCAAACATTTCACAACACCACGCCGCTGCTTTACAGGGCCAGCCAGCGTTACCTCTTCACAATAATAAAAGCACCTACAATTAAGACTAAATTAAAAAATATTCCCCTAAAAATAAATTCACCATACAAGTAGCTGTAGAAAATTCAGTCCAATGTTAACGTTCTAAATCAGGGACAGCACTGCAATTGGTTACTTCTGGAGCATTGGCCAAACTGGACTGCATTTTCTTTGTCACTTGGGAGAGATCACAGCACAGCACGCAGTCAGTCAGTAGCTATCCAAGCCGGAGATTGTTCTTTGGAACAAAAGAATAAAGAGATGTAAAAAGCTGCAACAACTGCTTGTGGATCCAGGAACCCCGCGGTAACAGGCCAACAGAACGTGAAAGGCAAATGAGAGAGTAAAGCAAAGGAAGAGCATTCAGTTATGCTTTCAAGAGGTTCTTTCAACTCAGCAATAAGCTAAAATAAGTAGGTTTTTGTCCCCTTTCATTCTGAAAAAAAACTAACATAAGGGCTTGAAGTAACATTTTCACAGTGATAATTTTGTTGTTTGGATTGTGAGTGTTTTTTAAACACACTATGCATTAAAACCTGTGGGTTTGCTTTTTGTTTTTGTTTTTCCACTGACTCATTCTCCTGGTTATATAAAAGTACTGGTGATTTTGTCATTCCTGTGCTCTTTTGGGGAACTTGCACAGCAACATTCATGTACTCGAAATAAAGCAAGTAAGCCTGACTTCATGCTGTGCTATATTTCTTACACAAACAAAATTAAAGGAAAAACACTGGCCCTGCTGAAATGAACAGAAACAAGTTGCACCTTAAATTTGGTAGCGTTAAGATTTGATCTCAGCCTTTTTTTTTTTTTTTTCCTGGAGCCAGGAGTGCCAGACTGAGTCCATCTGGAGCCTCTCCTCTGGCATTCAGCTTGACTTGTGACAGGATGCGTTCAGCAGACTGGTGGATACGAACCCATGGTTCTGAAGTCTAACAAAATAAAAGTCAAGAGACATTCTTCACTAGTTAGCAAATAATATGGCACTTAATGCAACATGAAGTGCAGTTCTGCAAAGGAGCTTCAGGAATGACACGAAGTTAGGAAACAACCTGTGTTCTTCATTGCATTTCCTGCTAGTTAACAAGAAAAACACTTCCAAGCTTGCAGACTCCCACTGAGATGTGAGGAAGCAGCAGATTAATTTCATTAGCACGCATCACCATATGTAATAAAGCTGCAATAGGCCAAATGCTCCAATTTACACTCGTGAAACTCCATCTCACTCCAGCCACAGTGTTGTTACACCTTCGTGAAGCCAAGGAGGGAAACAGATCTGGCAGCTGTCACAGGGAAGAAGTACAAACAATTTTTCCCTTCAGCACTACAGTTTTGTAGAGTTAACAAAAATATAAAAACGTGAAAGCTTACTTCACTCATTAAAGAGCTCTGACTCACTCAAAAGGGATCACTGTGTTGAGTCAGAAGATGTCAGTTTGACATGGATGCTAACTCAATGGCCAGAAGCTGTGAAGTTAGCAACTAGCTAGAGTTCCTCTGTTTCTTTTGCCTTTTTTTCCCTCTTTACCCAATGGTGGCTCTTGGAGGAGGAATTTATGCAGGCAGGCAGAAGCTCCTGAGAGCTCACATGGCTGTGCCTGTGATTTCGGAATGGGTACATCCTTCTGCTGGCCATTATCAGATCATCAGATGATAATGTGATAATGATAATTTAATGTAACAGCACCAGAATTACTGTCTGTGGCTACCTTTAGCATCATGCATGCTTTAACGCTGTATAAAAACTTTGAGAAGATCACTATAAGTTCATAAGGCAATGATATTAATGTTAAAATTAAATAGTAACAGGACTTTTGTAAGAACAAGAATATTAGTGAGTGCTTGAAAATAAGTTCAGCATTAACAAATGAAGATAATAATCCATTCAAGTACGGAAAGCAATAAGAAACATTCTGTGATAAATTTCTCCATACATGACTCACAGTCTTATACTGAGCCTTTTTCTTACTCAGAATAAGAAAAAAAAGCATCAAGATGATGTATGGCTGAGATCTCTAGAAGCTCCTGTGCCTGAGTCTGCTTACATCTATTGTTAACCAAAGCCAAGTCTGAGAAATCACAAACATATGACAATTTTCCTTCCTGCTGCTAGAAATTCTGCCTAATCTCCCAGCAAGTGGTCCCATTTGGCTCGCATTCAAAGCTTGAAAAAGATCCCAGTCTCCTATAGCTTAATATAATTTGTATGTCAGTTCCACAAACAGAGGCATTACAAGAAACCTCCTGGCTGCTAACACCTTTACAAGCATGAATACATTTCATACAGAGCAAGCAGTAAGGAGCAGAACGTGCTTTTCACCAGGCTGGCTAGCACAGCTACTCATCCTCAGGTTGAAACGGAATGTTGATGTGGCACAGTGGTCTTTGTTTGGTACAAATACACTGATTTCAGTACCAAGCAGTATGCACAAGTCCTTTAGGTTACAAATCAGCAAGGAGCCCCATTAATTTCAACCAGCACAAGATCAAGCCACATGAAGCGAAGGCACAGGCAGTAAGGTATTACATTTACTTCAATTTCTCCTATACTTAAGTCTCTTTGCATTTGTCTTATTTAGATTCATTCTGGAAAATGGAAAACACTGGGATTTCAACTGATCTGAAAATCAGTTTTAAAGGCAGCAGTACTTTTGCCTCAAGGAAGGCTCCAGCCAGAATAGGAATTGGTGCTTACAGCTCAGCAGAGATCATTATCTCACTGTGAGTTTGCTCAGCGAGATTCATTCCACACTTCCACTGTGCCAATGTTTGCTTTATTCAAGCAAAAGAGGTTCGTAATTACTGACCCACAGTTACTACTTGACAAACCACTGTTGTGCTTTAAAACAGAAACCAGAGATGCTATTTTCCATTTGCAACTAAATAATTGCAAGGTAATCAGTGGTGCGTGGCCAGTTAGGGAGCTCGGTGAGATTTAACCTATCAAAGTAAGTGCACCTATTTGTAATCACCACATCTGCCTCCTGTGATGGTTCATGTTCAGATGCAGAATCCCCTCTGCAGAAAGCACACTCCGTAAGGAAATCCAGCCTGCAGCTGCTGTCAGTGGTTCACACAACAGTTTTTCCTTGTGCTTGAGACACCCGTTGGGAAGCACAAATACGGCAGGTAGAGCAAGAAGGGCAAACAGCAGCAGGCTGAAAAAGGAATCTTCTGGACAAAGAGCAAAGGCCTGAGAATCAGGAGACCAATTCTCTTTCAGGGGCTGCAGTAAAATTACTGAGTAACTCAAAGCAAACTGATATATTTGCAGTTAAGATTAAGCCAGTCAGGCTGAAATACGAAGTGTCGTTTTTAATATCTCTAATTCAGTGAAATCTGTGATAAGAGCCCAATCGAGCTGTGGTAGAAATGAATCTAATAATTATAGCAAAAGGAATCATTGCAAAATCAGGCAGGGGATGGGAGGCAGTTGTATTTGGTATACTGGAGAGCTGTTGTTTTTCTAATTCTAGTTTATGTACTTTCCTGGTCATTATGTCCACATTTGCAAGCAATAAAAGGGCATTATGTGCTGGTCACTCCATCTGCTTTTGAGATAAATCTATGTTAGCATTTCAAAGGGTCAAGGAACTCTGCAGGGCAAACAAATTCTGGAGTGCTGATGCCAGATGGCGGGTATATAAAGTGGAAAGCGAGCAGAGCCATGCACTGTGCTTCTGTTCTAGGGAGAAGTTTCACCCAGAAGGCAGCAAAAGAGGTGAGAAACTACTGAGAAATCGTACAGGCGGTTTTCTTCTGTAACATGTTGCTTTCTTTGCCTCCGAAAAGTTTAGGTAAGGAGAGGAGCTGCAGTTCTTGTTCAGGCAAACCTCTTCCAAAAAGGCATCAGGAATAATTAACTAAAGAATTAAAGGTTAAATTAATTACACCATAAAGAATTATGCATTTATTTACATAGGAGGTTCTAGATTTATCTGTATAACTCACTAATATGCAATCTGTACTTACAGAATCTCTATTCTCGCAGATAAAATGGTTTTTATCTTGCATTTTTGACTGAACTCTACAAAAGAGACAGAAAACAATCAATCAGATTATTAGGTACAAGTGAGCATAACCTCCATGAAGGCATCTTATCTATACAATTTATCCAGCTCAAGTGTTTCCTTATACTATATATATAATACATCCTACTATTAGCTTGTCAATTCTGTAAACAGAAGCATTGGAATTAAATGGGTCATTTCCCAGTGCACAGAAGAACTCAGTAAGTTTAGGAGCTGATCAATCTTATCTTCAAATCTGCGCAGCGGTGGGATGGTAAATTCATATCTGCATGAGAAATTTAAAAACCTTTTCTTAAATACTGAAAACTGTAACATACAGCCTGAAGGAATGCTTTTTCACAGGCCACCAAAGATTGGAAATATGTGGCAGAAGGATAAGTGTTTAGACATAAGCAAAGGAAAGGGAGAATGAGTGTTCTAATATTTACATGTATACATCTCCTGAGCATATTTTAGTCATATATATCTATGTAGCTTTTTTATAGCAGCTCTTCTTCCTATCAAGAGTTTTCCTATAATTAAAGGATATCAGTAAAGACTTCTCTCCATACAGGAAAAGAACTGAACAACAATGCTGAGGTTTGCCATCACCCTCCTTGCTGTCATCACATCATCTACCTGCCAGCAGTATGGATGTCTGGAAGGGGACACCCACAAAGTGAAGCCAAGTCCAGAGCCAAACATGCATGAATGCACTCTGTATTCTGAATGTAAGAGTGGTTTAGCTTTTGCTGCAGCTAGTCTAGAAGTCCAGTTCTGTACACACTGATTGTTCTGGCCATTCTTAAGCTTCTGAGAGAGACGTTAGATGCAGTATAAGTTGCATTTGAAAAACCTCCCTCAATGTCATTTTGCTGCATGCAACTCAAGAGTAAGACTCTGGTCCTTAACAAAGTCAGCTGCAGAACTCCCACTGGCTTTACCCACTGTCTGTTTAAAAAGCCTACGCAGTTTACTTTCTGGAATCTCTATCTGCTTTAAAAGGTTTACAGAAGAGATGGACTCAGCCTATTGTCATGAAGTATAAAAATACTTAAAACATATTTCTCTCTTGATCGTACTAGTGAATTAACTATTGTCCCCAGTAAATTATTAAAAATAGCAGTGTTGAATTAATTGTAGCAGATTGCAATTGCCTGTCGTTTTCCACACAAACTGCAGAAGGTTAAACTTTCATACTGAGCAAACTATAGCAATATTTTTTACAGTTCTTCAGTTCTCTTTTCCTGCTTGGTAACTTATAAAATTACCACCCATCAGCATACAACATCCAGCAGAGCAGCAGTAAACCTCACAGGGCTTCCTGGACACACCTTTACAAAGCAGTGTTCATGCCAGTCTTTCCCACTTAGCATTCACACTGCTCTTCCAAAAACTAAAACACCAGAGCTCGGCCGCATCTTTTGCTTAGTATCAAAAGACTTCATCACGTTATGGACCAAAGAGATTCACCTTATATTTTAAGCCTTCCAGAGTGTTCAAAAAAGTCCTTACTGTAAGATCTTTGTTTCATTCCTAACAGCTTCCTGTTGCTATGCAAACTTCACAGAGCAATTGGCTCATTCCCCAGTAATTAAAGTAAGCAACAGCTACTGGAACAGATGTGGGCAGCTCAGTAAATCGTAAGTCAGCTTTGATGTTGTCTGTGTCCTGCTTCTCTGGAGCTATGCTGTAGCAGCCACACGCCAGCACTAACTGCCCGCAGATGGGCTGGCCCTACGCCGCCCGGTCCGCTCCCCATCATCTCTCCTCTACACCAGAGCAACATCTGGCTCTTCTTTTTCCCCCTCTCACAAAAGCCCATGAATCCTTAAGTACAGACTTTTTGTGCAGAGAGATTTATGCCTTTTTCTCAAGGAAGAGTTACGCTTGTTAAAGTTTGCTTTCAATATAGAACCAGATCTGGCAATGCGAAGCCGTCATAAACCCAGCAGGCAGTGACTGTGCTGCTCCTCTGTACAGCAACCATCACATCCCAGTGAGTGCACACCCTGCAAACCCCAGTCAAAAAGATCAGCTTCTTCCTCTCTGTTGAGAAAGCAGATCCACCAGATGATTATATCTTCCAAACAAAATGCACAAGAGGCCAGAAATACAAATATCTAAATATTTAGAATAAAAAATCTTGTAGTCTTGTACTCCATTTGGTAACCATGGAGAATCAGAGAACGTCTTCATAATTCAGGTTTTTAATACCCTGTTAGATGCTAGAGCTGTGAAACAGGGCAAGTTAGAGAAATAAAGGAATGAAAGTACAAAACAATTAAGCAAAAACAGATGTGTGGAAGTCACAGCTATTGCCTGCCACTCCCAGAAGAGCAGCAACACTGTTTTTAAGCAATTTCAGCTGGGCTGTGGGAAAATATAAAGATTGGTGAAACTGTTAGACTACAGCTTAGAAAATATTTTATACTACAATTCTAAACTACGTTTTATTGCTGTCTTGAGTCATTTCTGCCAGGAAAACTCAAGGCCCCAAAAATTTATGGAAAAGCTACACAAATAGGGCTGAAATACGCATGGGAACATTTGTGCACTCTTTAGTGGGCTGTGGTAATTGCAGCCAGAGTCTGTACACAATAGCAAAAGAATGATACAAACAGGGCAAAATGAAACTTTTCTGCTTTTCTCCTAGTCTGTAGTACTGCATCCACACCAAAGCAGGTCTAGAAAATTGAAGTCGTAGCCTTAACACTGAGCAAAAGTTTATTTGAGGCTTTTCTCACCCATAACAGCTGTGAAGATTTCACAAAGAAAATCGAGTGCTTTTACCGGTGTTCTCCACACGCTGCTCACTGGATCAACCCCAGATATACTGCTGCTATT